ATTCTCCAGAATCTATGAATATTTCCCAAGTCCAGCCTCACCCCAGGCAAGTCGATCCCTATAGTGTCCACCACTGATCATGTCAGGCTCCTGCTCATGCCCACCACCACCCCCCAACACCACCACCACCACACACACACCCTTTGGTCAATATCCTCTATAACAAACAGCTTAAAAGAAAGTAAAGAAAGTGATGTCTTCTAAGAAATGTTTGGGTGTTAAGTTGATCACCAGCCTGAAAGGCATTAGAGCCACTTTAATAAAAGGATGTAGACTCAGTTTTAAGGCACTTTACTTATATAAAATTATACTTTTAATCTAATATAATGGCATTTTTCTTTCTTGTGAAGATGATAAGCATTATTGATCTCACACCCTAACACATCTTGGGAGTAGATGAACCTGGATAGTAAGAGCCTTTTTCTCATCCCACCTAACACAGAAGGAATTCATTTGGAATGAAAGGGAAGCAATTGACTTGCAGGTAAGGGTGGGCAGGGTGGCAGGATTCTTTAGGATGTGTGGTGTGAGTTTCAAGAATAATGGCAATCGGCAACCCATGACAGAGGATGAAATTATGAGGCAGGTTGATTTATTAATTATACACCAATAACAAAGGATTGAAAGCAGCTTTTAGAAACGTTCTCAAGTAGTAGGAAATAGGAACATCAGGGAAATACTTCAACTGCAAGCAGGGCCATCCATAAATCTCTGAAATCAGTTGCAATTTTATTCTTTGTTCTGATCCATTTCCTTTTGCATCCTATGTCCTCACTTACCTTCCAGAAGAAACCTACACCTCCAGTCTCCAAGAGAAGAGAAAGCACAAGTGGGAATAATTTTTTTACTAAATTTATTGGGGTGACATTGGTCAACATGAATGTATAGGTTTCAGATGTGTGTTTCTATATTATAAGATCTGTATACTGCACCATGTGCCCACCACCCAAAGCCAAATCTTCTCCTGACACCATATATTAGGAGCCCCTTCTCCTGGGAATAATATTTTATAGTGAGTACAATGATCAGAATTCCTCAGATTCCTTTTGCTGTCATTTTGCTGTGACCTTCTGACAACTCACATTTCAGGCCAGCCATATCTCTGCTGTGATTTGAACATGTAACATGCTACAGATAAATGCTTCAAAATGAAGTGGGACTGCCCACCTTTAAGCTGCGGGGCATGAGCGGTGAGAGCCTAGTTAAAAACTATTAATATTTACTCTCTTGGTGCCTTTTGAATGCTTGCAGGCAGACCTCATTTTATTGCGCTTCACAGATGGTGTGTTTTCTACACATTGAAGGGAAGACTCTCCACCAGTGAAAACATTACAACTCACTGAAGGCTCAGATAATGGTTAGAGGTTTTTTTAGCAATAAAGTATTTTTAAATTCAAGGATATACATTGTTTTTTTAGAAACTATGGTGTAATGTGAACATAACTTTTATACGCACTGGGAAACCAAAAAATGAGTGTGATTTGCTTTATTGTGGTACTCACTTCGTTGCAGTGGTCTGTAACTGAACCCGTAATATAGCCGAGGTGTGTCTGTATATGTTATAATTGATTACATTTTAAAAACCAAACTATGTAAACCAGGGATCATTCAGGCGGCATAGGTTAACGCCGGAGATTGCCGCCTTGAACAACCAATTCAAATTAAGCTTGAACCAGGGACCCACAACATCCAGAAACACAGGCGGGCTGGCTGAGTGGAAATTCTGCAACTAGGAGTAAAGAGAATATTATATCCAGACTCAGAGGGGACGCAGTGCTGAAGTGAAATTCTCAGGTACCGAGGGCGCGCGGAGCGGGGCTGGCAGCGCGGAGGGCGCGATTGTTTACAATCGGGAGGGAGTCGCAGACTCTGACCTCCAGATCCGGGCGAGCAG